GAGGAGAGGAGGAGGAGGAGGAGGAGGAGGAGGGAGGGAATGAGGGTGGTGATGATGAGGTTGAGGATGTTGAGGAGGTAGATTAGGAGGACGAGGAGGAGGCGGAGGAGGAGGAGGAGGAGGAAGAGGATGAGGATGAGGATGAGGATGATGAGGAGGAGGAGGAGGAGGAGGAGGAGGAGGAGGAGAAGGGCTCGGAGGCCCGAGGCGGGGCAGGAGGAGGATGAGGAGGAGGAGGAGGAGGCGGAGGAGGAGGAGGAGGAGGAGGACGGGGGAAGGACGAACTCCCTCCTCCTCTTCTCTTCTTCCTCCTCCCTCCTGGCAGCGCGTCAGCCTCCCCACCCCTATCCTGCGGCCTCCCCATGTCCTCCTGTTCGCTTCCTTCCCCCAGCTCCCCCTGTCCGATTCTGCGGGGTCTTTTTTCTTTTGGGCGTTCCAGGTCCGCTATGACATCCGACCGCCGATAGAGAACAAACAACAGCGCAATGGGAAGGGACGGGTGGGAGGGGCAGGATGTCAGATATGGCGCGAGCGCACCTGGCCGGCCCCCCTCTCCCGTCTCCCCCCGCCGCCTCCCCCTCCTGCCCCCCCCCTTTTCCCCCGCTGCCCCAGAACCCAGGTATATGCTCAGCTTCGACAACCTCTTCGTCTTTCACCTGGCGCGCCCCTGGGCGGGGGGCGCGGGGGTGGGGGTGGGGGGGGAGGGCTCCGGAGCCGCCCCCCGGCCCCTCCAGGCCCTTCCCCGGTGGAGCAGGAGGGGAGGCACGGGCAGGGGGAGTGCAAGGAGGAGGAGGAGGAGGAGGAGGAGGAGGAGGACGAGGGGGAGGAGGAAAACCATCTCGACCACTCCCCTGTCCTGCCATTTCCTCACGCGTAGTGGTGTCCAGCCTGCGTGGCCAGATCCCCCCGTCGAGCTGCAGTTTGGAGCGCATTTCTTTGCGGACCAGTACTCTTTTCTCTCTTTTTTCCCTGTCGCCGTTCCTGCGGTTGCACGTTGTGTTCGTATGTAGGCTCTTTGGCCGCCCCTCGCCCGAGTTGGACGATTTCAATAGCAGCCAGCGCAGACTCCGAACAGACCAGAAGACTGAAACGAAGTGGACTGGAGTGGACTGAAGTTGAGTGGACTGGAGAAGACTGGATCGGACGTCGGTTGGCTGGACTGGCCTGGACTGGATAGACTTGACTAGACTGGTCTTGACTGGATTGGACTTGGGTTGGTATGGGCTAGGAGTAGGCACAAGAGGAGGAGGAGGATGAGGCGGAGGAGGAGGAGGAGGAGGAGGAGGAGAAAACGTATGTCATAATGTCTCATGCGATGGTGATGTGATGATGATGCTGATGATGCTGCTGCTGCTGCTGATGATGATGATGATGATGATGATGATGATGATGATAATCATCTGATGATGATGATGATGATGATGATGATGATGATTCGGTGACGATGGTCAACCCTACTCTACTCGGCTCTACTCTGCTCTGCTCTACTCACTCTGCACTGCTCTACTCTGTTCTACCCTACCCTACTCTTTTCCACCACTGGACTCTGCTCTACTAAAGGCTGCTCTACTCTATTATACCCAGCTCTACTCCACCATCGACTCCATTCGACTCTTCTCGACTCAGCTTTACTCTACCTTACTCTACCCTACCCTGCCCTTCCCTGGCCTACTCTAGTCAACTCTACTCTACTCGTACTCTACCCTGCTCTACCCTTACAGTACTCCACTCTAACATACTTTCATCGATTTTACTTTCCCAATTCTACTCTGTTCTGCCCGATCCTACTCTACCATCGACCATATTCTGCTCTACTCTACCCTACACCACCCTACCCTTGCCTACTTCTATTCTAACTCTGATCTACTCTGCTCTGTCCTACTCTATCCATCTACTCTTCTCTACTGTACTGTGCTCTACTCTACTCTACTTCTGAGTTTGACGGTTGATGGGCGATTTTAGGGGATGCCGTTGCCGTAGCCACAGGAAGCCTTTGTAATAGCAGAGGAAGCCATACGGTTACAGAGGATGTCACGCGGATAGCACGGGAAGTCACGCGGATACAGAGGAAGCCATGCGGATAGCAGAGGAAGCCATGCGGATCCAGAGGAAGCCATGCGGTGAGTTTTTACGATTGTTGGACGATTTTTGGGACGCCATGCGGATACATAGGAGAAGCTATCCATAGGAAAAGCCATGCGGATACAGAGGAATCCATGCTGATAGCAGAGGATCCCATGCAAATGCAGAGGAAGCCACGCGGATAGTTTGACGATGACAGGGCAACGTAGAAGTGGGGGGACCACTGGACCAGTTCTGTATGGCTTGAGCTAGGACTCCTATAGACAAGCTTGTGCGGGACATCCATGATACATCAACTATGGCGCAACACATCCTTCCGTCCCCGCATAAGTCTCCCTGGCATTTCTCTTCTCAACCGAAGCGCCCCCTTGAGAGAGGACCGTCCCATGTGCGAGCTGTGCAGGCGGGATCTCGGTTTTGAGTAGGACCCTTCCTTGCAGCATCCGTGCACATGTTTTCAATCGCAACATTTCGGATCATCAAGGTCAAGTGCATGTCAAGTCAGAGCGCCACATTGAAACGTAGTCTGCCTCCGTGCTCATGCTGCAGACTTTGGACTCAGGAAGTTGCGTCCGCGTCTGACATTGCGGATTGACGCTGCATTCTGTCGAGGAGCCTTCGTCCATTCGTGGAGTTGTTGCACAGTGTTGTGGTTTTGGTTAGCAAGTCTCAGGCTAGAGGCCCATTCCGACAGTGCGCCGCCCTCCATCAGTGAACAAGTTGGGAATTTGTTTAACGGATGTTCGCCTCGCTGAAGCGAGAGCCACATGGGCAGCCATCCGTCCGTGCAGCTGTTGGAAGTCTCTAACACGACCGTGTTCCACGCAAAGGCGAGACGTACAAGGAGCGAGCGAGCGAGCGCGCAACGTCGGTCCGATGGGCTGGCCCTACGAGGGAAGAACGGGCGGGCTGGGGCCCAGAGAGGCTCATGCCGCGACATTTGTGAAGTTCATTCCGAGTGGTTGGAGCAGGAGTCGGGTAGAGCCGGAGCCAGATGGGGGACGGAATCGAAGCCAACAGTCGTATCTAGAGAGGACGTGGGCGCAAAGTCGAAGAGATACGTGCCGTAGTCGGGAGATGGTGAGACCTTGTCGCGTCTGTGCTGTAAAGAGGTGCTATTCATGCTGTTTCGGACCATGTGGAGCCGATGTCAGGGGGGCTGGAGCTGGGGTCGGAGTCGGACAGACGACAGCAGGGGTCGGAAGGATTGGTGCAGAAGGCCATGGCCTTTACGTCGTTTCTACCAGCCAGGGCTCATTTTTAAACTGAGTTCTGGGTGCGCTACGCCCGCAGCGTCAGTGCGGAAGGCTCCTCCTCCTCCTCCTCCTTCTCCTCTAGTCGCAGCCCCAGAAGTCGCTGATCGGAGCATGCAGTCTGCCCAGCCATAGGGAGGCTCAGCGGCCGAGGGGAGCCTCTCCAAGCCTGCGGCGACAGCTCGGGAAACGAGTGCAGTAGCGACGATAGGTGTCGACGCTGCGGCCGGGCCTGGGCGACGCTCAATACCGACGAGTGCGAGATCAGCTTCGACACGAAAGCGGCCAAGTTCGGATCCCTGCCAGGAGCCAGGCAGACCAACAACCACAGTGAGCTCTGGTCCCTCATCAACTGCCTGGGATCCACGTCCGGGCCGCTCCACTTCTCGACGGACTCCGACGTGACGTGCGTGGGCTGGCATGCTAAGAGGTACGAGCAGGAGGCAATGGCCGCTAGGCTCTGTTGGAGAGTGGAGGAAGGCTAGAAGACGTGCAGCTGTTCCACCTGAACTGCATGCCCGGGCACTCCTTGGAAGGCAATCTGATCGCAGATAGGCTTGCCAAGACGCGCGCATCACCACGCCATCAGTGAGATCGATACGCGCTGCCACGAGCGTGTGCGGGCGTCGGCGAGCCTGGTCAGTTCGAGGATCGCGGCCATCACGAGGGAAGTCATCTGCAGACCGCTTTCGGACGACCGTGAGCTCAAGTTCCAGATGATGACCGCCAGACGGAAAGCCTGAGATGGTAGACGGGTGAGTGCGAATCGCCTCGGCGGCGACGAGAAGAGTCGCCCACCGACCGCACACATCTTAGACAGGCCCAGACGAGGCATCGTATGGAGGTCGCGATGTTACAGCCAGTGTGTCACGAAGAGGACGCCGCTGCAGGACACCAAGTATTTGTGCAACACGACCTGCCCTGGGCCACCGCCCTCTCGAGGACGAATGGTCGTCTTAAGGGGGTGGAGCCCCACGGCTCACACTCGCCGCGGCGAGAGACTCGTGACAACAGGTGGTTCTGCGCGTCTGCGACGGAGCTGGCGCCCGCGAAGCTGAGGAGAAGTGCGCCGAACGGACCAGCTGCAACTCCATCAAGTTTAAGCTTTATAACGGCTTCGAGCAGCTGGAGAGAAGAAGCTGGAGGAGGACGAGGAGGAGGAGGAGGAGGAGGAGGAGGAGGCGGAGGCGGAGGAAGCGGAGGAGGAGGAGGATGAGGAGGAGGGGGAGGAGGAGGAGGAGGAGGAGGAGGGAGGAGGACGACGAGGAGAAGGAAAAGGAGGAGAGGAGGAGGAGGAGGAGGAGGAGGAGGAGGAGGAGAGGAGGAGGGAGGAGGAGGAGGAGAGGAGGAGGAGGAGGAGGAGGAGGAGGAGGAGGAGGAGGAGGAGGAGGAGGAGGAGGAGGAGGGGCGGCTCTCCGCCAGGGCGCGGCGAGCGACGAGACCGAATGGAGCACCCTAGCGTCGTCGAGTGCCCTGGCGAGGCTGGAGGGCAAGCCTCAGAACGTGCTGACGGTGACCGCGGCGCAGGAGCGCAAGCCCCAGGACGCGCTGAGCTGGACCACTAGCTGCGCGCCTTCGCCAAGCTGGGGGGCCATCGCTGGAGCCAGCGCCAAAACTTACTGGAGGCCCACGCGCAACGAGCCGGAGGCCCACGTGTTGCTGGAGGGCACGCCCACGAGCGAGCTGAAGGTGCGCGCGCTGCAGGAGGCTCCCCACAAAGCAGGGTGGCCATGCCCTGAGCGAGCCGACCTCCCTCGCGGCGAGGCAGGGCAGGCCCTACAAGGCTCTGGGCATACCCTGCCCCTGGCAGATGGTGGGGTGGTGAGGGGGGCACCGCATGTAGCGGTGTTGCGCGACCCCAAGAGGGTCTGCCGTCCAGTCACACAGTGTGCTCCTTCCCTTTCTCCTCCTCATCCGCCGCCCTGCCTCTCTCCTCTTGCCACTTGCCTGTCTCTTGCATGTGTGCGTCCTGGTGCAAGGCTTCGCTCACACAGTTATGACATTGTGTGTGTGCGTTGCGAAAAAAAACAACATCAACAAAACATCCTTCCTCCCACCTCTTGAGGTCATGGCCCAGAGATGGACGTCCCTGCGGACGGACAGCCTCATGTATGACGCCCGTTTTTGGGCGGCGTTGTCTTCTAGGGTGCGAGGACGGTCTCGATCGATGACCCCGCTGAATCGTCTTCCCACATCTTCTCCGATTTCTCGTTCGCCAGGAGGACTTTCGTCCCTGCCTGTCCCCTCGCCCGCCTCGGCCTCGGCGACGATTCGGCTTACGGCGCTTCGCTTGTTCGCGCGCATCCCAAGTCAACAAGAAGCTGAAGGCTGAGCACGAGTCGTCGCCCATTCGGCTCGGCACCCAGATGCTTTTCTGCGGCGCGCCACGAAGCTGGCCATCGCGAAGCTGGCCATCGACGCGACCGGCTGAAGTGTCACCTGTCGCCCCCAGCTGCGTGCGCTCCTGTTCTTCTTCCTCCGTCTCTCCCCCCCGCTCCCTCTGGAGGTCGTCGGGGGCCCCCAGAGGTCTCCGGATGTTCTTTCGGGAATCCCTAGATGCCCGCAGAGACGTTCACGCGCCAAACATGTCGACTGACAGCCCCCCCCCCATGTAGTCCTGGCTGGTACGACAGGCCCCCTGAGAAGAGTGCCGCGGCCTCCACACCACAACGTTGGGTCGTGGATAACCCTAGGGGCGCCGCCAGAAGCGGCACCAGGGTGTTGATGTTGCTTCGGGGTGTTCGGGGAGCCTGCTGCGGCCCACGAGGACTACCTGGAGGGGTTGCCTGTGCGCAGCCCAGACTGCTCCCCGCTCCTCCCCGGGCGAAGAACTTCTTCCTGGTCGTTTCGCCCCGCCGCTGCCCATCAGGTGTTCGCCTACTACTGCACGCCAGAGGCGGGCCACGTTTGCCGCGCAAATCCAGGGGCAGCAGCGGGGAGGAGGTGGGAAAACGAGGAGGAAGAAGAGGAGGAGGAATTGGAGGAGGAGGAGGAGGAGGATGGCGAGGAAAAGGAGGAGGAGGAGGGCGAGGAGCAGGAAGAGGAAGAGGAACAGGAATACCAAGCACAACATATACAATAATACGACGAACCATCATACGAATAAGTATAATGCCAAAAATAATGGTGATAACACGACGAGTAATAATAAACGCGATACTAAGAACAATGGTACGAATAGGAGGAACAGTTACAGTAAACATAACGCGAGTATGACAAACGAATAAGGCTCATCATGTTAAGATTAATAATACGCATAATATCACTAATCATGCGAAGAATGCGGCACACTATGTGTGTACCAGAAGGAATGCTAATACTGAAAATAGTACTAACTATAAGAATAGTAGTAGTAACAGTAGTCGCAGCAGTAGAAGTAGTAGGAGTAGTAGTAGTAGTAGTAGTAGTAGTAGTCGTAGTCGTAGTCGTAGTCGTAGTCGTAGTCGTAGTCGCGTAGTCGTAGTCGTAGTCGTAGTCGTAGTCGTAGTCGTAGTCGTAGTAGTAGTAGTAGTAGTAGTAGTAGTAGTAGTAGTAGTAGTAGTAGTAGTAGTAGTAGTAGTAGTAGTAGTAGTAGTAGTAGTAGTAGTAGTAGTAGTAGTAGCAGTAGTAGTAGTAGTAGTGTAGTAGTAGTAGTAGTAGTAGTAGTAGTAGTAGTAGTAGTAGTAGTAGTGTAGTAGTAGTAGTGTAGTCGTAAGTAGTAGTGTAGTAGTAGTAGTCGTAGTAGTAGTAGTAGTAGTAGTAGTAGTAGTATAGTAGTAGTAGTAGTAGTCAGTAGTAGTAGTAGTAGTATGTAGTGCAGTACCGTGGCAATAGCATAGCATAGCAGTATCAGCAGCAGCAGCAGCAGAGCAGTAGTAGTAGTAGTAGCAGTAGCAGTAGCAGTAGCAGTCGCAGTAGTAGTAGTAGTAGTAGTGGTAGTAGTAGTAGTAGTAGTAGTAGTAGTAGTAGTAGTAGTAGTAGTAGTAGTAGTAGTAGTAGTAGTAGTAGTAGTAGTAGTAGTATATAGTAGTAGTATATAGTAGTAGTAGTAGTAGTAGTAGTAGTAGTAGTAGTAGTAGTAGTAGTAGTAGTAGCAGTAGCAGTAGCAGCAGTAGCAGTAGCAGTAGCAGTAGCAGTAGCAGTAGCAGTAGCAGTAGCAGTAGCAGTAGCAGTAGCAGTAGCAGTAGCAGTAGCAGTAGCAGTAGCAGTAGCAGTAGCAGTAGCAGTAGCAGTAGCAGTAGCAGTAGCAGTAGCAGTAGCAGTAGCAGTAGCAGTAGCAGTAGCAGTAGCAGTAGCAGTAGCAGTAGCAGTAGCAGTAGTAGTAGTAGTAGTAGCAGTAGTAGTAGTAGTAGTAGTAGTAGTAGTAGTAGTAGTAGTAGTGTTACTACTCGTTGGAATACTAAAAACAATATTCAACAAGAGGAGAAGGAAAACGAGGATGAGGACGAGGAGGAGGATGAATTGGAGGAAAAGGAGGACGAATTAATATGGCTTCGCCCCTTCCGTCGCCCGCCGCCGCCGTCGACTGCCGTATACTGCTGCTTGTCATCTCCGCGCTGTCCGCAGCTATTTGGGATGCGAGGTGAAACAGGGTGCGCGCACCCTCCCCTTCTTTAGGGTCGGGCACACACGCACACAGATACCGACATTGTTGTGCCATGTTGTCCACGAACTCTTCAACCTTGAAGAACAGTGATCAAGGGGCCATAGACGAGCAAAACCATGTACCAAATATTAGGTCCGAATCTTTTGATCCTCTGGCAAATAACTGGTTGGCAACCGAAGGCTCTGGATTTGGTCATATTAACGAGTTGGGGAATCAGCCGTGCCGCGATATGCAACCCATTGTGCCTATCGAGGTGCCTTCGGTTCGCGTGCCGAATCATGGCTCCCCACAGTTCGAAAGGGAATGCCGACTTGAGAGAGATGGACGTTCATCGAGAGCTATCCGCCCTCTTCGGCTAAAAAATAGCTCGTTGAGTTCGCAATTGAAAGCAGAGTCTGGTAATGCTGCGCCCGACGGTGCCGACTTAACCGGTGAATTAGCTGAAGGCCGTGGCATGATATTGGGAGAGGTGCCTGTGTGATGGGGGGTGGTTCAGCCGTCCTTTAGGTACCCCGTCCGCATTCATTTGAAATAACAGAGCTTGTAGGAGTTTCCCATTCGCCAATTGATGCCGTGAGTCCTCGAAGACCAGCTATAATATATCATCTGAGGGGTCCAGACGGAGATGCGCCGTTCCCCAAAAGGCCGAAAGGCCGATGAGGGAGAGGGGGAGGGGAGGGGAGGGGGAGGGGAGGGGAGGGGAGAGGGGGGGGAGGGGGAGGATAGGGGGAGGAGGGGGGATGGGGGATGGGGGAGGGGGGAGGGGGAGGGGGGAGGGGGGGGGTGGGGGTGGTGGTCAAGTTAACCAGCTCGAGCGAGTCAAGCATGGCATGCCCATTCCCACCCGCCCTCACACAACACAAGAAACAGTGATGGCACAACTTGGGGTTGCGCGGGCATTTCAGTGCGAGTGGAGGATACCCCAGGACACCGCATTGACGTCCGCGCGGGATGCGCGCCGCGTGCCATTCCCGCCACGCATTTCGCAACGTCGACGACAAGACTGGCCATGTTGAAAGGAACAACAGACACGTTCCGCCCTCCCACAACATAAGAAACAATGCTGGCGCAACTGGGTGCTGGCGCGTAGTGCTCGTAGTAGTAGTAGTAGTAGTAGTAGTAGTAGTAGTAGTAGTCGTAGCCGTAGTCGTAGTCGTAGTCGTAGTCGTAGTCGTAGTAGTAGTCGTAGTAGTAGTAGTAGTAGTAGTAGTAGTAGTAGTCGTAGTAGTAGTAGTAGCAGTAGTAGCAGTAGCAGCTAGCGCAGCAGCCAGCAGCAGCCAGCAGCGCCAGCAGCCCAGCAGCAGCAAGCAGTATGTTAGTGTGAGTAAGTAGTAGTACGTAGTCCCGACAATCAGTAGTGAGTAGTAGTAGTAGTAAAAGCTAGTAGTTAGTAGTAAGTAGTAATGTCAGTAGTAGTAGATAGTAGTATAGTAGTAGTAGTAAGTAGTAGTACATCAGGTAGTAGTAGCTGCCATTAGCTAGTAGTGGTGGTAGTGGCTAGATGCGCCTAGTGGTAGTGGGTCAGTAGTGTAGTAGTAGTAGCCCCGTGGCCAGTAATCAGTAGTAGAGTGACGGTCATGACGTCCTAGTAGTAGCTCTGAGTCGCCGAAAGATCGTTCCAAGACTCCCAAGAATGGCCTCCAGACGGCCGTAGCGCCAAGATGCTGCGGGGAGCCTCAGGAGGCCCTCCAAGAGCCTGAACAAGCAAAAACCTCCCAGGCATTCGTCACCCCAGGGCCTCCTGGAACGCCCCGACGCCCAATGAATTGGCGTGGTAAAAGCGTGCGCCAAGCCAACGCGGGAACGCAACTTTGAGAAAATTTCGCTCGGCGCCCAAGCGAGAAGGTCATTTCATTCACTTCAAGCGGGGGGGAGGGGGGTGTGCCGCGTCCAATTCTTGCCATGCTTTCTTGCGGGGTGGACGACAAGAACAGCTATGTGGGCAGGGAAACTCAGCATGGCATTGTTTCTGACAAGTAAGGTGGCCTCTCCCGCCTTGGGGTTGCCCCAGAAGTCCACGCGTGATGTGCGCTGCGCCCCATTCCTGCCACGCATTTCGCATCGTCGACGAGAAGACAGGCCACGATGAAAGGACAAACGGAACTTCTGTATTGTTTTTACAGTCAGGATGGGGGGGCCCGCAGCCCGCATGGACGTCCGCGCGCGATGTGCGCCGCGTCCCGTTCCTGCCACATATTACGCACCGTCGGCGACAAGGCAAGCAATGCTGAGAGGAAAAAACCAAGACTTCGTATTGATTTTTACAATCATGCTGCGTGGGCCCGGATTGACGGCCGCGCGCGATGTGCGCCGCGTCCCATATGTGCACCGCGTCCCATTGTTGCCACATGTTTCGCGCACCGTCGGCGACAAGGCAGGCCATACTGAGGGGGAAAAACGAAGACGTTGTATTGATTTTTTTTATAGTCAGGATGGGCGGGCCCAGATTGACTGCCGCGCGCGATGTGCGCCGCGTCCCATTCCTGCCACGTTTTTCGCATCGTCGACGACAGGAAAGACGATGTTGAGAAGAAGAACGGCCACTTTGTATGGATTTTTTACAGTCCGGATGGGAGGTCCCGGATTGGGTTGCTATCGGCCGGAATACGAGGTAGGAGGGGGTATATACTAATAAGGAACAAGGATAAGGGTAAGAATAGGAGTAAGTAAGAGTAAGAGTCCCAGGGCAATGTCCGCACCTCACGGTTAAACTTGGAGCCCCTTCTGGACCCTCCTGGTCTTCTCGGTGGCGCTATATACTTTAGGCCACAGACCACGTTCAATTCTAGAGAAATGTTCAGCTCGGGTCGACGTCGCGACCTCAGGGCAGGGACGGCCCATATGAATACTACTATCAAAAAGAGAAATACTCATATTAAGAAGAATCGTAATACTACCAACCATAACGCACAGGAGTAAGAATACGAAAAAAACGAAACATCGCCTTTTGTGGCGCCCTCGCTGTCCTACGTGGCCCCGTTGCTACCCTCTGTGGCCCCGTCGTTGCCCTTCGTGGCCCCGCATTATGTGCCCTTCGTGGCCCCCGCTTGTTCGTTCTCTTCGTGGCCCCATACGCATTCCCTTTGTGTCCCCGCTGTCGCTCTTCGTGGCCCCCTTCCTGTCCTTCGTGGTCCTGCTGTCGCTCTCGCTCTCGCTCTCGCTTTCGCTCGTCGTCGTCGTCGTCGTCGTCGTCGTCATCGTGGTCGGTCCCCTGTCCGTCCCTCTTGGGGTCGGGTTGCCGCCGATCAGCGCTGCCGCTGGCCAGGCCGACGGTCCGCGGCCGCCCCGCCGCTTGCCGGGGCCCGGCCCGCAGGGAAAATAACTATACCCACCAAAAGGCAACGGTTCCTGCCTGAGACTTCCTCACAATTTAGCCAGGACCCCCGCTCCCGCCTGAGATTTCTCACATTTTACCCGGGAGTCGCGCTCTCGCTTGGGATTTCATTCGAATTTATTCAGGAGTCGCTCTCTCGGCGTTCTGGAGTCGCTCTCTCGCTGGAGACTTGCTTCCACTTTAATCAAACATAGCGGCCTTGCGTTGGAGCTCCCCGCAATTTACTCTAGCGCCGCGCTCCCAACATTCAGGCGCCCAGGAGTTTCGCTCACGGTTAGGACCCCCTCACAAATTATTTGGGAATCGGGATCGCGCTGCCCTTCATGGCCCCGTTGCAGCCCTTCGTGCCCCCCTCGCTGCCCTTCGTGGGCCCGTTGCGGCCCTCCGTGGCCACCTCGGAACTTTGTGGCCCCGTTGCAGCCCTTCGTGGCCCCTTCGCAGCCCTTCGTGGCGCCGTTGCAGCCTTCGTGGCCCCGTCGCTGCCCTTCGTGGTTCCGTTGCGCCCCTTCGTGGCCCCCTCGCTGCCCTTCGTGGCCCCGTTGCAGCCCTTCGCGGCCCCGTCGCTGCCCTTCGTGGCTCCGTTGCAGCCCTTCGTCGTCCCTGCCGTTCGTGGCCCCCTCGCTGCCCTTCGTGGCCCCGTTGCACCCCTTCATGGCCCCTTCGCAGCCCTTCGTGGCGCCGTTGCAGCCTTCGTGGCCCCGTCGCTGCCCTTCGTGGTTCTGTTGCGCCCCTTCGTGGCCCCCTCGCTGCCCTTCGTGGCCCCGTTGCAGCCCTTCGCGGCTCCGTCGCTGCCCTTCGTGGCTCCGTTGCAGCCCTTCGTCGTCCCTGCCCTTCGTGGCCCCCTCGCTGCCCTTCGTGGCCCCGTTGCACCCCTTCATGGCCCCCTCGCTGCCCTTCGTGGACGGGTTGCATGCAGCCTTTCGTGGTCCCCTCGCTGCCCTTCGTGGCCCCGTTGCAGCCCGTCGTGGCCCCGTCGCTGCACTTCGTGGCCCCGTTGCAGCCCTTCGTGGCCCCCTCGCTGCCCTTCGTGGCCCCGTTGCTGCCTTTCGTGGCCCCGCCGTTGCCCTTCGTGGCCCCATATCTGTATGCCCTTCGTGGCCCCCCGCTCGTTCGCGCCGGTTATGTCCCCATACGCATGCGTTTCGTGGCCCCGTTGGTGCCCTCAGTGGCCCCGTCGTTGCCCTCCGCGGCCCAGTATACGTATGCCCTTCGTGGCCCCCGCTCGTTCGCGCCCGTCGTGGCTCTATGTGCATGCCCTTTGTGGCCCCGCTGTCGCATTTTGTGGCCCCCTCGCTGTCCTCCGTGGCCCCGTTGCTACCCTCTGTGGCCCCGTCGTTGCCCTTCGTGGCCCCGCATTATGTGCCCTTCGTGGCCCCCGCTTGTTCGTTCTCTTCGTGGCCCCATACGCACTCCCTTTGTGTCCCCGCTGTCGCCCTTCGTGGCCGTGCCCTTCGTGGCCGTGCTGTCGTTCTCTCGCTCGCTTTCGCTTTCACTCGTCGTCGTTGTCGTCGTCGTCGCCGTTGTCGCCGTTGTCGTCGTCGACGTCGCCGACGTCGTCGTCGTCGTCGTCGTCGTCGTCGTGGTCGGTCCCGTGTCCGTCCCTCTTGGGGTCGGGTTGCCGTCGATCAGCGCTGCCGCTGGCCATGCCGACGGTCCGTGGCCGCCCCGCCGCTTGCCGGGGCCCGGCCTGCAGGGAAGAAGGTGTACCCCCCAAAAGGGGTACGATCGAAGACGAAGTGGGCGGGTATAAAGGGTTTGGGAAATACGCGTTAACGGACACTCGAGCAGATAAGAGCGAACAGTCTTAAAGTGAGTGCTGTTGTTGCTGTTGCTGTTGCTGTTGCTGTTGCTGTTGCTGTTGTTGCTGTTGCTGTTGCTGTTGCTGTTGTTGATGTTGTTGTTGATGTTGTTGTTGTTGTTGTTGTTGTTGTTGTTGTTGTTGTTGTTGTTGTTGTTGTTGTTGTTGTTCGTTGTTGTTGTTGTTGTTGTTGTTGTTGTTGTTGTTGTTGTTGTTGTTTGTTTGTTGTTGTTGTTGTTGTTGTTGTTGTTGTTGTTGTTGTTGTTGTTGTTGTTGTT